CTTGTGCTCGTGGGAGCAAGAGACTTCCGTTGGGCACGCTGTCTGTATTAGCCCTCAAAGGCAATTAGCGCATCTCACAAGGGCTGGCACATTCTGGCTGGACTGCAGGTGCACAGCAGAGTTTTGTGAGACACTGCTGTCAGCTGGTACATCCACAAAGAGGAGTCCCTTATGCTGCCAGCGATGGGGAGGGGACGGCCATCGGTAGGAGGTGACATTGGCAACGTTTGTGTCACCTGCAGTCTGGCCCTCCTGGACCACAATGCTCGCTCCAGCTGTAGCATCTCTCAGAGACAGCTCTGCATGTAGAGACCAAAAAGACAGGTGCTGCAGCTGGAACACACCTGAGCATTCCCCCTCAGCCCAGAGGAGAGAGAATTTGAAACGTAGGGCTGCTGAACAAGGCAGGGCCTTTCTCCAGAGAACTTCAGCCCACAGGACCCCATGTTTTTCCCCACCGCTTGCTTCCCAAATTACAGTAAACTCAACCCAGGCAGATCTTTTCTGGATTAACTCTTTGCACAACTCGCATCTTTCTTTGGAGGTTTCTGCAGAAATAAAGCTGTTTCTCAGGTCACTGGATCAACTTTCTTCCACGCCAGACAAGCAGGTGGGAGGCCACACCAGAACAGAAGCAGGTCTCCATCCCCATGTATCTGAGCCATGGGCTGCAGCCAGGCAGCCAAGTTCCCAAAGGGAAACCTGCGGCAGAAACGCGTAAGGGTTGCGCAGCCCACCAAGAGCTTCGCTGACAGTGGGATCCACAGGCGAGGGGAGGGACAGCCAGAGCTTAGCCGTAGCAGTGGGATAGAGTAACCTGGGCCTAGGTGCCTGAAGCCATTTCTGAGGCCTCTGAGTACCCAAGACCTCTGCGTGGGCAGGGAGACACGACACGGGGCATAGCTTCAAGTCCCCCCCCTTGGCAGTGGGAGAGAAGAACGGGCAGAGGCTGCCCCTGGCAGCAGGAGCCAGAGAAGACGCAGCCTGCGACAGCTGTGGTCGGTTTTGCGCTGCGCAGCTGCCCACCGCAGCCGGTCTCAGGACTGCCGAGGTCTCTGATCATGGCCCCTGGCGCCGGGGTGAGGGGGAGGAAGGAGCACAGAGCCCCCCGCGTTGTGGAGCTGAGGACCTGCCCACCCCATCAGGCAAGCGGGCAGCAGGAAGGAAGCAGCGTCCGAGGACAACGATGCGCTCCAGCGGCGCCTCAGCACCGGGCGCAGGGCTGCCCCACGACCCGCACCCGCCCCGCCGAAGCTCCCTCCGACCGCCATCACGACGCCTGCCCCTGCCCCACCGACCACCGCTTCCGCTTCCGCCTCCTGCTTCCCGCGCCCCCACCGCCCCCGGAAGGGAGGCCACGCCCCCAGCCGGTGAGGCGGTGGCTGGCGGCGTGGCGCCACCTAGCGGTTCGGAACGGGCACCGCCGCCCCCGCGGCGGCGGGACGGGCAGCGCGGGCGGGGCGGGCAGGGATTCCCCCCTCCCGGGGCGGCAGGAAAAACCGCAACGGGTCGCGGGGACGGGAAGCCATCACTCCCAGCACCGGCAGCCGCTGGGGTGGGAAGCCGTCCCGGTCTGAAAAATCAAACCCTCGCCGGGGGGACGGAGCCCCCCGAACGCTGTGTGCCCCCAACCCACCCCACAGGGACCAACCGCCACGGCAGCACCGGGTGCGGGACCACCGCCCCCGCCCGGCGGCAGCACCCAGAAGCCGCCGGAGGATTCCTCGGGCTGGCGGGGGACAACCCGCGGGTGTGGGACCAGCGGTCGTTCACCGTGGACATCACCAACGTCCACGCCGTGCTCGCCTGGCTCAACGCTGCGGACGGCGAGGGCACCGTCCCCGACGTCCCCGACAGCACCGTCTTCCTCAGCCAGCTCCCCGGCCTCTTGGAGTACGGGGCGGAGGGCGACCACTCTGAGGACTGAGTGGCGGCAGCCATGCTGGGGACACCAGCCCTTCCTGGGGGGGCAGGTGGCGACATCCCCCTCTCTGGACCCCAAGAGCGAGCAGGGTGGGGTGGTGGCCATCCTTCCCCCACGGCGGCCAGGGAGTCCCGGGGACCCTTCTCAGGAGAGACCTACGGAGACTGCAAAGGAGAGGCCGATGGAGAGGGGTCCCCTGAAGGGTTGCCCAGCTGGTCCCCTGAGGAATATCCTGATAAGACCCCTGAGGAATATCCTGATAAGACCCCTGAGGGTCCCCTGAAGGCTCTCCCACCACCGGCATCCTTCCATATGGATTGTCCGGCAGTTTCTGTAGAACCCGCTATCTCCGGGAAGCGGCATGGACCAGCCATCCACGCTGGAAGGTGTGAACACCAAAAAGCGTGGGAAGGGATCCAGGAGCAGGTGGAGTGCTGAGCTCTCTTCTGCTTCCCGGTGCGATGCCGGGGACGCCCGCGCCGGCATGGAGGAGGAGGGACAGGCGCCCTCACCCGCTCCCACTCCCAGGAGCAGGAGCTACAAGTCACCGGTTATGAATTAGAAAACTTGCGGGTGAGAAATGCGTGACATAAGGGATGAATTAGTGAATTCGTGAGTTAGACGAGTCTGTGCAGAGGGGATGGAGCCCTCGTTTGCATCATCTTCGTCTTCTTTCCTGATGAGCTCGTAAATTAAAGCTTAATTTACAGACTAAATCTGAGAGATCCAAACAGACTGTGACGGGGGACTTGGGGACATGGGGGGATGGGGACATGGGAATGGGGAGGGGGTGGCTGGGGACGT